TTTTTTTTTTTTTTTTTTTTTTTTTTTTTTTTTTTTTTTCCTTTCCCTTCTCCCCTTGGCTCACCATCGTGATGTCATAAATTTGTTTGTCTGGGTGCGGAAAGGAAGCAATTATGTTCACATGTGCGTCGTTTTGTGGTTATACGGTTAGCACCTTTTACCGGTTGCTCTTCGTTAGGCGCCCAACTTGGACAGGCTAAAGGGGGAGACAGTTCGCACGGACGCTCCAGGGGCATCCGTGGTGCCTGCAGTTAACCCAGCCTACCGTTTCCTGCATCGGCCTCGCCAAAACCTGAGCCGCTTGCCCCCGAATTTGCCAAAATGAACGATGTAGACATAGAGGACTACCACAGGAATATCCTCCAGGAGCTGAACGCAGTGGAAGAGGAGGGAGAAATATCTTTGTCCACATTTCTAAACGACTTAATTGATATTGACATTGAATCAAATTTTAACTTCAGCTACCAAGTGGTGAGTCGTGTCATGCAAATATGTGTGAATTCGCTAAACAGTAATTTGATGACCTTGGCAGATGCGTGCATGCACTTTATGCGTTACAGCATCAGTAGGTGTTTAAAACTGGAGGAAGAAATTAATCAGTCCTTCTTCGAAAATATTAATACGATAATAAAAATATGTCTTAACATGAGATACTTTAGTGACAATAGATCATTGTTGTTTCAACGAGCATTTCTCTCTCTCATTATTGAGTTGGATAAATGTTTGCCTCAATTCATGATGTTGTGGAAGGGGTACAAAGCGGACATGTGTACCTTCCTCACTTCCCTCCTAAATCTCATTTCCTTTCACTTAACTCTTCTAAATGATCTTTTAAAAGAATTAAAAAAAGATGAAAAATTAAATTGTAACAGGTATATGCAGGTAGGATGCTCCAGGATCAAGATCATCGAAATTGCCTTTAATTTACTGTTGAACATGTTTAAAGAGATAAGACAAATACCTTTCATTTCTTCTCTCATGGATTATGTCAACTTAATTGTTAACACATATGATCACATACCAGACGTAGAAATAAAAAAGAAAATTTTGTCATTGTGTAGATGTTTGTATAGTAGCAACAGCGATGGAAGTAGAACTCATTTCGCAGCCCTTCCAGAAATGACCAATTTGCTAAGCAGGAAGAGGAACAATTATTTGGCCTTAACCAAGGAGAAAGATATAAATATGAGTTACCTGCGTCACTGCTCCTACATCTACATGTCTGAAAGTCACTTGTTCATCAGCACATTTAGCGCCACTGGGGGGGAGACGACAAACGGGCCAAACGGGGCAACTGCCTGCAGCAACCATGGGGATGCCCCCACTCATGAGACTGATGGTGTCTCCCCCAGTAGTCCGCAAGACAAGGTCCTTTTGACTCCCAACGGGTTCAGGGGATGTTTGCTGCTGAACTTCTTCTACGCCTATTTCTACAACACGCAAAATAAGTTGCTCATCGTTTTGTGCTACGACCAAGTGAAGGTGCGACAGGACCCCGGGGGGAAGATGCTCGTTTTTCGTTGCTCGCGGATGGACGCACTGGGTAAGAAAAGGAAAAAAAAAAAATAAAATCGACGCACACACACACATATACGTGTATACATATAACATATATAGCTACAACCGTAGGAAGGGCCGGGTGCTTCTGAGTAGCGACGGCTCCATATCCCCGCCAAGTTCAAACAACCGAACCCCCTTTCCACCCCCTCACAGGTGCACTGTCAAGCAAGCTCCGGACACAGTACGAAGGCCGCCTCCTGGACCACATAGACATTTGCGTCAAGTTCCGTTCAGAGTCGATTAAGAATAAAATGTTTGACGTCATTACGGAGGTGATTTCGATTGACAGTAACGAACCTGATAATGTGGAGGACGTGAAGGGAGAGGAGGTGAACGGGGAGGAGGCGAAGGACGAGTCAGATGAGGGCTGTCTTCGGGAAGGGCCTCCGCACTACAAAGAACTGATAGGGGACAACAACGGTGCGAATAGTGTTGACGACGACGAATCAGATACTCGCACCAACTGTGTTAGTGGAGACGAAATAATAGAAGAAGAAATATTGAGACGCAGGAAAGTCAGCTTTGCCTCCATGAAGGAAATATGCCTAATGGACTATCGTACGTCGATGGGAACGAAAACGTTACTCCTAGATGAATCCCTAAATGAGATGGACACACACGAGAATGAGGGGGTCTCCGATTTGACAGATGAAGAGGACAAGAGGATACGGACTGCTCTGGAGCAAGGAACTGATTGCCCAAGCATAAGTAAGGCCAGCTCATTAGGAGAGATGCGTGATGAGGTAAGCGAAGCAGGTGATAGTGTTCACCCTGAGGGAGGAGATGGTGGCGAATCAGTTGGAGGAATGCACACCAAGGTGAGTTACGCAACGACGAAGGATTTGGAGAACGCGGAGGGCGTAGAAAGCGAGGCTGCTATTCTTGAGGATGATGATTTGTTTAGGGAAAACGAACTCTGTAGTGTCATGTCAGAGAGTAGGAATGATTTCGCTGGAGCGGGCGAATTGTCCAGTGACCAACGGCAATACCAATTGAAAAACACCAAAAGGGTGGAAGAGGAAAGCGCATGTGAGGACCCACAGGACGAGTTCTTCATTCTCTCAAATATGAACAAACTGTGTGAACAAGTCTACATTGGAAAAAGAAGCCAAGGGGGGGAGAATGGTCATGATGATGATGAGGAGGTGGAGGAGGTACATGTGGGGAGCCAGGCAGGAGAAGCAAATGAGCAAACTTGTACAAGCACACGCCGCACATGTTGCGCAGATGATGGGATGAAGCTACTATTCAGTGAGCCTGACATACAATTGGAAGAAGGTAAGGAAGATTCAAGAGGAAAAAATAAATCGGATGGCATATATATCCCGCAGAAGAGCTACAACCATGGCAGGAACATCCCCCAAGGAAACGAAAAACAAAAGGGAGAAGAAAATTTCCCTCCTTACACTATAAAAGAATTTGTAATTAAAAATGCGATTGAGGAACATATTGGAGGGGGAAGAGGCAGTGAATGTGATGCTGTGGAAAGCTTGGTGACAGCTGATCTGTGGAGAGCAAGCAATAATGGAGGTGGCCAGAACATTTTCAATTCGCCACCCGAAGTTGTTAAAGAGTTACTCAACTATGAGGCGAAACGGAGAGACGTTGATGAGTACATACAAAGTTTGACAAAGCCACAAGTGGAAGGCACATCTGAGGGGACGCAGCGGGGGGACCTGCGAAGAAGCCACACCGAGGGAGGGACGGGCGAATATTCCGAAGTGGTGAATATTGAGGGAGAGGATGAAGCGAGTAACGAAATGATCGTATGTGACTACCCAGTGGGGGGAGAAATGGATGGCGGGGGAAACAGCGTTAGCATTGGAAGGGACAGCATTGGCAGGGACAACATGGGTACAGACAACTGCGGCAGAGACAACAGTGGCAGGAATGAGTCCTGTACGAAGAGGAGTAACCTCTGCGCGAAAGGAACGCACCACATCGACAAGCCCAGCTCAAGTTGCAAAAGTAAAAAAAGAATCGCAACCAATGAGGCCAACACAGCACACGACACAGCCTGCACCATGAACGATTACGCAGCAAAAAATAACCTCCCGGATTCTCCCTATCCTGTGAAGAAAACAAAATATAATTACCATGACCCCAAACTTTTGAACTTGTTAAAAAATGAAGACAACCTGGACAAGCTAAGTGCGAAATATTTGATTAAGGCTTATACAATAATTCAGTATAACCGGAGAAACACACACATACAAATAGCTGATTGCTTCCGGAGCGTGAGGAAGGAAATTACGACATCCTTTGAATGTATTAACAGCAAGTACGTAGCATGGTTAAAAGAATTACAACAGAAGTTTGCCGGAAGACTTGAGAGGATTGTTTCAAGGCACTCCTACATGCTCCTGATTAATAAGAGACGAACTGGACAAATTAATGTAAACTCACTTCCCGCTCCTATCGACCTCCAAATTATTTCCACGAAAATGAATACACTGCAGGAGACGCTTAACATAGTGCAAAGAACTATGGAGGACAAGATGAAAAATTTGCAAATTCTGACGGCATACAAGGAGAGTGATGTGTATACTTCGTCCCTTTCGCTGAACACCCTCCTGTCCCGCTGTTCCACGCAGCGTCTAAGGGAGAGCGCCGGCGACGAGCAAAGCGGTGGTGCGGAACGAAGCGCCGGGGAGAAGTGAAGCGAACGCAAAAATGACGGTAGTTTTAAGGGGCCCCTGTCACCCCTTCGTCATATAATGCCGTTTACCCCTTGCGGGCACACGGCCTCCCCCTTTGTTAGGCTCCATCCAGCTCATTATTTTCACCACTCCAATATTGCACTCCCATACATAGCCCTATCCACACAATTGTTTTAACCATGGCACTATTTTGTTGTAGTAGAATGCGAGGACACGGGGCCGTCATAACTTTTCCCCGCTTGGCACACTTCCTACCCACCCCCAGGTCTCCTCCCGACTCAGGAGCGTAAAAATGTATATATATGACAAATATGCAAATGTGGAGCTTTCGCACTGGGGGATATCCCTCCCATAAGTGGTAAAAATATCCTTACTGGGGACGGATGTCGCCGTGTGGTAGAAGGCGCCGAACTGGTGGTGCTGCGAGACCTCGTGCTCGACGCATATGTTCGTTTGCACTCAGTTTTGTACCTATTGTGTGATTTTAAAAAAAAAAAAAAAAAAAAAAAAGCGAACGGGATAAACTTTTACCTGCTGCTATTGCCGCGCAGATGTTTTAAAATTGTCACAAATTGGTGCAGGTCTTGTTGGCAGGCGGCCAGTTCTTGCTGTTCTTTCCCGTCCGGTGCGCGCGCAAAACGTATTTCGCAACAAAAACGTACGCATGGGTCGAAACATATTTTCGTGCCGACTGCCGCCCGACGATTGACTAGCCACGCTTGAAAATTTTTTCAGGTAGCCCAAAAAAAAAAAAAAAAATACGTAAAATATGTATTTATACATATGTACATATTTTTTTTTTGTTGCAAACGGATAAGCACAAGTTTAATTTTTTTTACAATTTTATGATGAGGCACGAAAAGATTAATTGTAAACAGCAGGCGCCTCCAACAGTTGCGCATTCGTACAGGAAAGTTGTTTATCCTTTTGGCCCCCCTTTCATTGGGAGAACCTCGCCCATGACAGGAAAATATAAGTTTAACCAATACGCATGAAGGTTAGCGGTACGTGGAAATGGTACACTTTTTCACTTGATGGGTCACCCCGCGAGATTGCTTCTTGTAGAGGCCGATGTTATAGTTCGAACGTTGTATGCGGAATGGGCAGGGATGTACTCCTCTCCCTCATTTGTGCATCCCCACATAGGTTCCCTTTTCAAACTGTTCTCCAACGATACCCCCTTTTTTAAACGAAGTAGTTGATCTGCGAACACTATATATAATTCTGCAAATGATGAATACTTTTTTAGCGATGGGCGGACAGAAAGAAGTAAAACTTTACATGTCGAAAATCGCGTAAACTGATAAAGAATTATATATATACGTAATAATAACGCTTCCGCAGAGGGGCCGCACAAAAGCAAGCGCCATGGCATGCGTAGCTTAAATCGTTCTATACTCCTCCGAGGGGGGAGTCATTTCGGTTTATGCTGTACAAAAGTGGGGGGGTAAACAAACAGTTGCCATGAAGTTTGTACAAGGGTGTTACTCGGGATTGTGGGAGCCTCTTAAAAAATGAAGGCCATGAAGAAGGGGTTAAAAAAAAAAAAAAAAAAAGAAGATAGCACTGGGCACTGTGCGGCAATGGGCCGAATAACCTCTTCTGCACGTAACAGTGTAGGATGTTGGATGCAAGAGCATCTGTACATAGATGGCAGATGGTTTCGCACCCGTTTTGACTTTGAGCAAATAATGCGGACGGTTTAAAAAAACAAAAAAAAACATGTATCGCGCGTCTGCACACGTTATATTCTTCACAGCGGAATGGACTTAACCGTTTTGCCACTCCTGAATTGTCGGTTGGCTTCCTCATTCTCGATAATGTGTATGGACAGAATGGGGGAAAATAATTTGGCCCTGTTGAGCACATCACAAATGTAGGAGCTGCTATGAATCATGAAAAAAACATCATCCGGGAATTCGATATAGCAAAAAAGGAGATTGTTGTTTTTGTTCTTCTTTACAATATCGTAGTGGTCCATGAGAGATTGATTCTCGGCAAAGTCGATGATCGTTTCCATGATTCCCCATTCAAAATATAACAAAAAAACGGTAAGGTGAATATACATGGATGGGTCTACATAGAGCACAGGGATGACATTGTTCGCTTGCTGGAATACATTTTTAACCATCTGAATGTTCCTTTTGTGTAAAATTTCTTGCACAAGATTGGTAACGTTTTTTTCATTTTCCTCCGCTTTTCTTTTTTCATTTTCATATATTTCTTTTCTTTTTAAAATGTCTTCGTATTTTTTAAAAATGATTTCCTTCATTTTTTCGTACTCGTTTAAATTGATATGATTTTTCAGAGCAATTGATTTGGTCATGTCTTCAAATTGGTTAACGTACATGTGAGCATCTTTGTATAGTTCCAAGTGGTAGGAACACAGGATGCAGTAGTACACGCTTTTGAATTTTGTCTGATTGAAGGCGTAGGCCTTTCGGCAGTCTTCCAGGCATTTCACGTGGCGCTTCTTTTTGTAGTGGACGATTGCTCGGTTGCTGTGCAGGTCGGCCAGGACGCCCTTTATTTCGTCATCACGCAGGTCATTACGTTTACCACTTTCACTTTGTAACACATTTGGTTTGCTGATCTCCGCGTCCTTCCTATCAGACGAGGAGTCTTCCTTAACTTCAGATTTGACTGCCTCCTCCGCGTGGCTGGTTTCCCCTTTTTCGGTACCTATCGCATTGCTAATACTTTTGGAGTCGACATTTTTCGTGTTACTTTTTGTCCTCTCTGGGGGGTGACTGCTGCTGTCATTTGTCAATTTACTCCCCCTCTCTGCCTTTCGCTTCTCCAACTTTTTATCCTCCCAATATTTCGTCAGTATATCTATTCCCTTGGTGTAGCTAATTATAGCATCCTCAAAATACTTGGTTCCATCCTTGTAGTAGTCGTTTCCGACTTGTTTAAAATTTTTGGCCAAACTTAGTTCGTCTTCATCGTCGATCATTAAATTGTAGAGAGCATGCAGGTCTTCATTTTCTTCAATGTTGGCCGGCAACTCATCCATGAAGAGCGGGTGCTCGGCGTTTTTGTACTTCTCCGACAGCTGCTTGATGTAGTTCTCGTCCACGTTAAAGTCGTCCTCCATGGTTTTGGTGCGAGGTGGTACGTTTACAAGCGCGCAGTGGTAATTCCCGCTCTTGTTTGCTCCTCTTTGTTCCCGCTTTTTCGTACTTGCCAATTGTTCAAATTTTTTTTTTTTTTTTTTTTTTTCTCTTTTTTTACCTGAACGAGTCAGGCGATTTTGCGTAAACCCTCAACAGGCGCTTTACCAGAGGCGTGTAATAAACGCACAAAAAAATTGTCCCTGCGGAGGTCGTCATTTTTCTGTTCTACAGGGGCATTTTCAGATAATATAGCACAGAACATTGTTGCACTATTTCGCTAGTTATTTGGGCGGAGTATTCTCTTCCTTCCACCTGTTTTGCCATAAAATGATGTTATTTTTATTTTATTTTTTTTCTTCCCATTTTATGCGGCAAATATATGTCAAAATGCATTGAGCATATTTTGATGAATCTATGCCGGGTAGATATGCACTTGTCATTTAGGAAAACAGACGACTGGGGCAGAGTCCACCGGGGTTACGATTCAATATAGTGAACGAAAAAAAAAAAAAAAAAA